GGGGGGGGGGGGGGGGGGTATCTGCAATGAGTCATGACCATACATAAATTACCATCAGGTAATCAAAGTTTGATTTCACTAACATCAATCTCATGATGAAAATATCAATCAGTCTTGTGATAACTAAGAAAAGCTGACAATTAGAAAGAGGACGAGATCCCCGCAGATTTCCCTGCCTGTACAACCACCATACCCTTTGGTCGCAGAGCTTTTCCTCCCCATTTCTGAAAAGAACTTCTCCACTCAGCAAAGTGTTCGTCTCAAAAAATCATACACCATTCACCACTTAAGCCATTTTCTAGTACATCCTGGACATACCATACTGAACAACAGTCCCTACTTTTCTATGAGCTGCAGCAGTAGTAGCTGCTGCTGCAGCAACTCCAATTCCACCATATTGAGATTTCGCCTGCAATAAGTTTGTGTCGATGGTAATTCTGTCATCAACACGATCTGGTTTCGTGACTCCAGCTCGCATCATATAGAATGGGTTGCTATCAATATTTATAGCAATATCGGGGGCTAACTTGGCAGCCATGCCACATGGTGTCATTGGTTTTGCATGAGAACTCAGATCCCTCTCTGTTTCCACAACAGCCCTTTCTTGCTTCACCATCCCACTTCTGTCGTAAGAGTATGCTGAAGGCATAATCTGAGAGGGGGGTACTGTATTCCTGACTTGAGATCTAGGATCATATTTTTCTTTATTTCCAGAATCATATGCCAAAACTGGACCGACAACCTTTCCTGGTTTGGCTGTTGGATTTGAATAGAGGCATTGCGAACCAGACAAGCATCATTAGAAAAGCACATCATTAGAGAAAGCAAAACTAGCAAAAGATTTCATGATTGACAGAAAATACCTAGGGCAATTCTCGGCTGAGCCTGCATGGTTCTCGTTAGACTATTTGCAAGGCCTTCAGAATCTCTGCAGTTTCTACTGCACGACTCTTCGCCATTTTGCCGGTCCCTCATATTGGCAGCAGCAATCAGCTGTTCCTTCGAAGGGATTGTATTTGAATGTACAACTGTAGACCTGCACAAGTATCACGCTTTTATCATTTTTAACTTAAAATAACACCAAATAGACAAGTTTAAACTATAAACTTTCTATTCTTCATCTTTTAAAAGAGCGAGCAGAAGGCCAACAAATGATGTGCATATATTACATCTGAAAGCAAACTTTAAGACACACATGAAGCATGAATTTAGAGCAAGCTAGCTATCACCATATCTGAACTAGCTACAGCCTGATTAAACAAAACATACAGAAAGATGGACATAAACACAGAATCACAACATAAGTGCGCGCAGGGGGCATCGAAGCTGAAAGGTCAAATAGTTTTCTCGAAACCAACAATCCATTCAAAATGCTTTATGCCAAATGGCATATAAAAGGGAAGATTTGATCTTATTCCTAGACAATATTCTAGTGGGGAAAGTTCGAGTATCAGCACTCATAATCACCTTGGAAGAGAGACATGCTTCCTATCCATCGGAACGACTGGACCACCATTACCACCGTTTTCTTCCAGGTGAGCAAACTGTTTCCTGAATTGATCAACAGCACTGCAAGGAAAAGCAATATCTAGTCAGTACAAAAAAACATTTGTTTAGAAGGGTAAATCACTGACCAGTCAAGGAAAAAATACAACCTCGGATACAGAAAATTAGTCCTTTCTACACCATTCATGTAATCCTTCCTCAGCTGGGGATGGTATTCTAGTATCTCCCGGAATATTAATTCCCTCAGGTCCTCCTTCGTCACCCTTCGCCTCTCAAATTCAAACTCCATCTTTGAAATTGGCTTGCATGATGGTTCCCTTTCAGATTTAGCCAGGCCCTTAAAATAAGGATCAGCTAGTGCCTGATATGTTTTGGGCGGGGGTGGGGGTGGATAAGATTGAGTAATTAGCATGCAAGGAAACAAAATATACTAAAACATCCAAAAGAGAAGTTCGAACAGTACGCTCATAAAGATACCACAAACCTCTTCAGCAGTGGGTCGGTCTTTGGGGTCGAAAGCGAGTAACCTTTCAAGAAGTTTGAGAGCCAATGGATCAGCATTTGGAAATTTCTGTGCAAAAGAAACGGGTTGCTTCTTTCTCATGCTAGTTAGGTATCTCCTAGCCTTGTCATTACGCACCTGCAACAACCACAAGAAATACTAATACACAAAAGTAGTTTTGAGGATAATTTTGTCGAAAGTGATGTAATATGAATTCACAGATAGTTCATACACGAGAAATCGTATCCATTGAGGGTGTTCCAAGCAGATCAGTCATTAGGTCCAGTTGGTGAACAACATTTTTCCCAGGAAAAAGTGGCTTCCCAGTGAGAACTTCAGCGAAGATACAGCCTATGCTCCATATATCAATTGCAGGGGTATACTGCAAGAAGAAAACCATATTAAAATTTGTCTAGTGAAAATTACAGGCAGCGCAACGATTATGGATAAATTCCGGGAAAATTGACACTCTACTAAGAGGGGTGATCGATCTCGCACACCACAAATACCCATGATGCACGAAAGAATCAGCATTTGCATAGAAAAGGCAAAATGCAACAGACTTAGCAGGTTCAGCATGTAAAGAATTATTTTTATCCAAGAATAAGAAAGATGTACTTAAGATACTTCACACAAGACGTGCACATATAGATGTCACTTATCTTGTGCCAACGTTAAGCCCAACGCCATCCTACGTTGAATGTATTAGAAATCTAGGAGGTAGATGCCTATTGCTAAAAAATTAACCACAGTAGGATACACATCAATGAGTAAAAAGATGAGAAAATGCTGGAACCGAGGATACTTTTGTTCACTTTTTAACTGTAAATATGGCTGCCAGCACTACCTTTCTGTTGATGAATATACTGTTACCTTTCTCCAAAAAGGAAAAAAAAAAAGAGAAATGCTTTAGCTTGCGACAGCACCTAACATACAAAATTCTGATCTATTAACCAATGTATTGATCACGTGTTTTCTGTGACATCAAACTTATTGTCAGCTCCTGTGACTAACATAATTTGAAGTGCATGTTACTAGAGAATTAGAAAGAAGAAAGAGTTGGATTAGAGAAAAAAGTAAATGAACTAGCAGAAGCTTCTTTTTCCTGTTTCCATCCCTTTAATTCGTTTGATATTCTATTTTCCTCTTTAAAAAAGAATTCACATACTTCCATTACCTCTTTTCAATCCAAAATGAGAAAGGCATGATCATTATATTGGACCCATAAAAGAAATTTTAGGGAGATTCAAACTATACCTTGGAGTAAAATGAACCGCATAATTCTGGAGCTCTATACCATCTAGTAGCTACATAATCCTGCAGTTTTCACCAGTGAAGTTACAGCAAGAGCAATGCCCCAGTAGAGATGAATGTGACAAGTTGGTAATACAGAAAACATTCAACAGATCGGAGGGGGAGGAATGGTGGAAGAAACATGTAACATATTCAACTTTCATATCACCTACCGTCCAAAATATTGTGGTAGGTGTATCATTGAATGCAACTCTGGCCAATCCAAAATCACAGATCTTAAGCTTACAATTTGCATTTGCCAAGATATTTTTCGGCTTTAAGTCTCTATGGTAGACATTAGCTGCAGCAAAACAAGAATCATCGAGATTATGACAACCCAAAAGAAATGACTAGCCTGCTTAATGAGGATAATGTGCAATATTATAAACACTTAAACAACGATGGGATCACAAGATGCAGCAAGAAACCTGACTGATTTACCTGTGTGTATATATTTTAGGGCACGAAGCAACTGATAAAGAAAAAACTGATAATGTTCCCGTGTCAAGTCATCATTAGCCTTGATAACTTGGTGTAGATCTGACTCCATGAGCTCAAAAACAACATAAATATCTTTAAAGTCCCTCCTGGATGGTGGCAGCATAATATGTTTGATTTCAACTATATCGGGATGGCGCAGAAGTCTCAGAAGCTTTATCTCGCGGAGGATCCGTGCCGCATCAGATATGTGTTCAAAGATGTCATGAATTTTTTTAATTGCCACTTTTTCACCAGTGTGTGTGTCAATGGCTGAACAAACGACACCATAGCTTCCTTTCCCAATGACTTCCTGAATTTTGTACCTATTTGCATCACCATATTCAGAGAAGAAGTCCATCTCTGCTGAACTCTGCAGCACCGAACACAAACTCTGATTATTAATTCAGATAAATAGACAAGCATTCAACATTGTTCACCTACAGCAAAAACTAGCATCCAAGAGAATCCCTAACACAATTTCTAATATTTTTTCCGCGACAGTCGTCTATCAACACAATTACAGATAACAAACAAAAATCACCCATTCAAAACTTGATGTAATAAAATAGGACAAACCTGAATGTTGCCAAATTCCATTTTTTATGAAGGAAGGTGCGAGGATTACCAGAATACAATTACCATAAAATACATATCAAATATTACCAATTATAAACCAAGTAAAACATTTGCTCCCTGCTCTTTAATTCCAGTCTATAATGCATTTTAATTGAATTCCACACATAGGAAATAGAATAACAAATCCGCAAAATAATCCATCTATCTTCCAATATTTTGAAGTGGCACAAAAAGGGTATAATCTTACCTAAAAAACAAAACATACTTAAAGGATGATGATCATATTCATCTAAAGAACAACTTTTAGAAGGAAAAAAACGTCTGCACAAAGTATGTTAATTAACAATCAGAAAAAACGGAAGGAAAAAAAAAAAGGAATCACGAATAAATTCACAAAGAACCTAACAACCCTCAACCCCCAAAAGAACGAAAATAGGAAAACACAAGCGGGAATTCATAAAATTTAAAAAAAATCACAATTTATACGAAGAATGAGCAATTGGATAAAGCTTGTAATTTCATCAGATTAAATTTCCAGAAAGGAACAAAAAATTCTCACTTTCTTTCGGTGATCAGGCTGCATTTTTGAGTAATTCCGAAAAATCCCACAAAAATATAGATAATTTGAATTAAGCTATCCAAAAACAAAAGTAAAGGAATTCAGAAAATCAGCCGCATTTGCCCCAACGTCCTCGGCTACGAATGGCAAAAGAACAGTCCCACTCCCACCTAATAATCTTCTTCAAATTGAACAGATCCTTCATAAACTCTTCCTCAACAACAATCATAAGAGAATACACAAAAATGGCTTAGACATTTCCACAAACACCTCCCGCACAAAACCCTAAATCTCAATCAAAATTTCGGTAATTAATAATGGAGCGAGCGTGAAATAGAGGATCCGGGGGAAGATGTGTGGATCTGAAGAAACCCTAGCTGGTGGGGAAGAGGGAAATCTGACACCGACAATTTGGAGGTGGGGTGAGGTGGGGGGCACTGTGGGTGGTAGGGAGGGGGAGAGAGAGAGAGAGAGAGAGAGAGAGAGAGAGAGAGGCAAAATATGGAGCTCTTCTGTGCGTGTATAAACTGTGGTTATATAATTAAAGTACGTATTTTAGGTGCGTGCATGTGATGTGAGTGTATCTTATCTGTATGCATTTTGCTTTTATGTTGCATGTACCTCTCAATTAATGCCCACTCACTCAATGTGATTCGCTTCGAATTTAAAAAGATCTACGATTTTTGAAATTTGAGATTTTAAAATATATTATAGATTTTGTACACTTATAAACCACAGAGTATTTTATTAAGAATAAAAAATTTAAATTTTAAAATATTAAATTATTTTAAATAAAATATTATTCTTTTTAGAACAAATTAAAAGTATATAATGACAGGAGAAGTATTAACTAATCATTAATTAAATTATAAAAGTTTCTTCAAGACCTTTATCACACGGTGATTAATTCTGTTGTAAACTCCAAAATGTGAATAAATATATTCAGCTCTTGCAGTAAATGTGTTCTTATCCAATTTTTTCGTTTTGAACTCTGCTTAAAAATTATACAAACGCACACATTTACACACACTGCAGTAATTATGTGAATCTGTTTATTTTTTGACAAGTTAACTCATATTCCTACTTATTTATTCTAAACCATAAGTTAAAAAAGGCAATAATTAAGTCTGTTCTTTTTCCTAATTAGAGGTTTAAATGGTGAATAATAAAAGGAAAAAAAGAAAGAAAAAATCTCCCAAGATCAACGATTACTAGGTCTGCTCTTTGATAAAATTTTTTGAATAGTTAGCTTGTCTTTACTTCATATTATTGAACTAATTTACGGCTACTCTAATTTGAGAAAAAGTGACACCGCAAGCTTAGAGGTTAAAGTAGAAATTGGTGAAATGACACGTTTCTTGGTGAAATTACAAATTTTATTATTTGATCTGTGATCAACTAATGAGTACTTTTGAATTCAATATTACCAGTTCACAATTTTAATTTTCTACTTTCTTTCGCCTATCATATAAACTATTTATCAGTATTCTCTTTGGTTGAATAGCTCAAGATATGGTGCCTTAAATTTTGCAGATATAGAGATTGCTTGTGCCTTTAATTTTCACTTGGATCCTAAAATGCAAGATTTTCAATAAAAAAAAGTTTTTTTATGAAAGAGTATAGCTAATAATATAATGAAAGAGATCTCTTTTTTTTATTGTCCACCATTTAAGCCTCTAATTAGGAAAAAAAATAAATTTAAATATTGCCTTTTTTAGTTTATGCTTTAAAATAAGTAAGTCCACTTGTCAAGAAATAAACTAAACTCATATAAGTAATGTTGGTTATGTGACTCACATAATAAAATTTCTCAAACATGATGAATGAAGTCTGATCATTATAGTATATTACTTACCTTTTATTCAAGTTACCTAAAATATTTATCATAAAAAGTTACTTGCAATTATCTGTAAAGCAATTAAAGGAAATCTTTCACTTGAATGGTCAAGATTTTTCTAGTAGTAATATTTATCTTTTTCTTCTAAACTTATGTAGTATTAGATTTTGTAAGGAAACATTGTAATCTCTTCTTGTTCCTACTGGCTATATAAATGATGGGAAGAAAAGCAGAGGCAAAATCAAGATTTTGAGTTTATGCGTTTTGGATTCTAGAAGCATCTTACTAGATTTTGAATAATATATTTATATATATTAAGTGAGTTTTTAATACAAATATATAATCTGTATTAGTGAAAATTATACTCGCCATGTGGGTCTATTAAATGGCGACATGTGTCAGCAAAGTTTGAAGAAAAGTGAAGAATGACATGTAAAGATGATATGTGAAACACCCCCGGGACCGAACATACTCGTACCGTGCCTGTTAGCCTCGGAACTGATCATCATGAAATAGCCGGGATCAGGTGCGGGAGAATATCTCATAAGGAAGGAATCAATTAATCCCGGATTATATGTGATTTATTATCATTGCACCATCAGTTACAAATCAATTATTAATGAATGCAATAAATGATTGTAACGGTCAGAACAAGGCAATCAATTACAAGATTGACTCAACAGACACGAGATTGACTCAACAGGCACGGGGATTGACTCAACAGGCACGGGATTGACCCAACAGTTACGAAATTAACTCATCAGTTATGGAATTAACTCATCGGTTACGGAATTAACTCATCAGTTACGGAATTCCAGCATTTACATAGCTGTTACAAGTCTTCCAAAAGTAATGGATGGATTGAGTAAATGCTCTTAATGGACCCATAATTCAGGGAGAATGGTTACTTAGATTTAGCCCTATAAATAGACATACTTTTACCACCATGAGGGAAATCTAATTTTCTTCTCTACAATTGTATACATTGTAATTCATAGCATCTTGCTCTCAAGTTAGCCATAGTTCGGCCCTTCAAGCTCTGTTCGGCTCGTTATCCTATCAAGGATCATTCAATAAGAATTCTTTCTTCTCTGCTTTATTTTTCTTATATTATCTGTCATTGAATTTATTTTTCACTTTTCTATCACGTTGCATTAACAAAAATTTATATCTTTCGGATTGAATCGGTTGCTTGTGGCCCGTCATATAAAATTATTGCTTTGACCTTGAAAACTATTTTTTGGATTAAACATAATCTACATCATAGTTGCTGGGTTCTGTCGAACCTCGTACGTAGAACACTAACTCCGTCCCCGAACAAAAGGTTTTTCCGTGATGATGGTTGTACATCAAAGGGATCCATGATTAATCTCGTTATCATGCATCTCATGTTTTATTGCACAACGTCCAGTAATATTTGGCGTTAAATTAAATTATTTAAAAATATCAATACAACAGTGAAATATAAGAATTTGCAGCAATACACTATTTTGTCCGATCAATAAAGAGATTAAATAGTTATTTTCCAAAATGACTGCTGTATATTCTATTATTTTAACTAATTAAGCAATTCTAATGGAGGATATCAAAATAATTAAACAGTCTAACTAAGGGGGAAATATTTGTAGATCAAGAGTTACTAACGGACAACCTATTAATTAAGGAGTTGTTCAGTTGACTAGCACAGTTATTCAGATTATAATCCTGTGATTATTATCTCATCCAATATAACATAAATTACCGAAATTTTAGTATAAAACATATATTGGTATTTAGTTAATACTCATAATGAAATACTTGAATAAATGTAATTCTAAATTTCACATACAAATCACGGTAACCAAACGACCCATAAGATGTTACATTCGAACTGCAATGTTGTAATTGTATTTTAGTGGCTTTTATTGTCTAGTTGAATTTTTTCCTTCTACCAATTAATTATGCATAACAAAAAACAAAACAAAAAATACATAGGCACTGGCAATGCGCGAAATTTAGGGAACATATGAAAGGGTGTTAGAGATAGAGTAATACAGAAATAGAATAAGGAAGTCAAGTTGGTGAACTGTTTGGGGTGAAAATAAAGCTTCTGTCATCTGCCACATCAGTTCACAGTTTCCAGAATATATAACTCCATACATAACATCACAAGTAGGTACGAAGATGAGATAATTTAGTAACACCAACCTGCCAACTGTCCACGTTTATTGTATTTCTCAAAAATTTCTCAGTATGTTGTGTCGGTTCAAATGAGCTACTCTCTGCTTTTCAGATTCTACGGCCGGCTTTACTTCTACTGTTTTTGTTTTTTTCTTCTGTAAAAGGAAAAAAAGGTTAGTAGGATTTTTCAATGTGTACGTCTGACATAATTACTATTGAAAGTCTCGTTGATTGCAGTTACAAGGTGCAACTTTATTATTTCTCTGTAGAGTTTCAATCTTACCAAGGTTTTATTCTTTGACCTTTCTAGTATATCTTTTAGTGAAGCAATACGAACCCTATTCTAATTTATTTGGAAATATATATTACTCCATCCGTTTCAATTTACGTGAACTTGTTTGATTGGGCACGGAGTTTAAGAAAAAATGAAGACTTTTGGAATTTGTGGTCCTAAACAAGTCAAAATGGGGCCCAGAGTATTTGTGTGGTTATAAAAGCTTCTCATTAAGGGTAGAGTTGTAAGTTTAACCTGAATTGTTACCAAATTTAGAAAGGGTTCATTCTTTTTGGAACGGACCAAAAAGGAAATAGGTTTACATAAATTGGAACAGAGGGAGTAATAGTTTTTGGTAGTTCTGAAAAATATTTATACCTTTCAATATTTTAAACGGCAAAGGGCCATATATACCCATGTACTATGAGAAAAGGTTTAAATATATCTTTTGTTATATTTTGGATCCAAATATACCCCTGTGCGCCGTAATATTATTGGTTCAAATATACCCTTCTTCTGTTGAGTTTGTCCAAGGTGGACATCTAATCCTATGTGACACTGATATTTGATGAGGTGGATGCCACAAAGCATGCTATCTCCGCGCCCCTAATCCATATATAAAAGACGAAATCTGATATACAAATTTAACGAAAAAGGATATATTTGAACCAATAATATAACGACAAGGGTATATATAGACTCAAAGTATAACGAGGGGTACATCTAAACCTTTTTTAATAGTACAAGAATATATTTGGCCCTTTTTCATATTTTCAAACAAGTTACTTTACATTTCCATTTTGTTATTAACATAATATGCTGCAATCCCACAAAAGAAAAAAAAAGTATTACTAGTAATTACTTTCTTAAGCTTTTTGACCACTCAAATTGTATCAAACAAATTGGGAGGGATTAGGGATTACTCATTGGGGTCGGAGGTGACTTTTGCTCAATAAAGAAAGGATTATTTTCCATATATGCTGTTACGCTTTGGATTTTTTGTTTTTGTTTTTTTGTTTTTGTAATAAAAGGCGTATTATCATAATAGTTAAGGAAGTGTTACAGAAGCATTGTTCGTGGTATTGTTCGTGGTATTGACCATCAAAGTAGTAGTAGTAGTACTAGTAGTGACATGAGAGTTACTGTTAATACAACACAGATTTCCTAATGCAGCTAAATTGTTACGAGTGCTACTAGAAATTGTTTTAGC